GAAGCACATGAGGACCCCCACACACAGAAATCCTTTATAAGACTGTCAATGAGGCACCCCTACTGGAGGCGGCTGTGGATAGGATCCCAAAACAATACATCTTTGACAAAAAATTCAAGAAACAATTGTTTGAAGATCCTAACGAAGGACTGAACCCCAGAGAGGTCCGAGTCTTCACTGATGGATCTAAAACAAATTCAGGAACAGGTACTGGAGTATTCTCAGAAGACCTCTATATCAGGATATCAACCGCTTAGTGACCACAACACAGTATTCCAGGCTGAATGGGCATCAAGTTCATCAAGCGGCAGAAGCAATCTTAGCGAGAAGAGTAAAGAATTACTCCATTCAAATACTCTCCGACAGTATGTCAGTTCTTCAAGCACTGAACAGCTATGACATAAACTAAGGGCTCATTTACGAATGCCATCAAGCACTCATGGAGGTGCGTATACAAAACCATGTAACTCTACAGTGGATTAAAGGACACAGCAGCTCACGTGGCAATGACGCAGCAGATGAACTGGCCAGAAAAGGGTCGGAGACGGACGCTGTAGGACCAGAACCCACAGTGTCCCTCCCCTAACAATGGTCAAGAACAACTATACACAAAGGTACAAAATCTTCACATAATAATACATGGACCACCCTTACGGTTTGTAGACAGGCGAGGGAAGCACTCCCAACGCTCAATGCCAGTCTATCTCGAATATTAATTAAACTTAAAAGGCAAGAGCTTCGCACTCTAACTGCAGCCCTAACGGGTCATGGTACATACAATAAACAACTTTTCAATTTAGGTATCACAGACAGCCCTCTTTGCAGAGCGTGTATGGAGGAGGAGGAAACGACTGCGCACATCCTACTACAGTGCTCCGGTGTGGCAAACTACAGGGCGAAGTACCTTGGAGTGCCACGGTCGCTCCCCGAAGTCTTCAGCAACGGTTTGCTGAAGACTTCGGGGAGGCTGCTGAGATTCCTGGAGGAGCTTGAGTGGCACGAGTAGGACCTTGCACCCACCACACGCAAAATAGGCGCCTTGACGTCGAGTTGCAGATACCAGCCCGTTACACCAAGTACCAAGTACCAAGATGTTTTGGGCTACTTTGTGTTGTTTAAGGCTAAACTGTGTATTTTTGGTGAACTTTCATCTAATGTTTACCAATATGTTATAATTTTGGCGTGTTCGGTTACGTCTATGAAAGTTAAACTGAAAATTAAAATGGCGTCACGTCTTTTTGTCATTATTCACAAGGCGGACTCTATTGATGATTGTGAGTTAATTTCAATTATATAGTGATTAAAATATGTAACATTTAATTTAACAGTTTCACTGATCGTATCCCATCACCGGTTTATAAAAATTGAAGTGTGTCGCTCTAATCAAGTAAGTCAATTTTACGGATTATAATTCAAAACCTAATATAATTTCGTATAAAACACAATTCTTGTCATGGAGCAAATAATAATTCCACACGTAATAAGTAAAGGTGTAGAATCTTCTATACTTACTCTTTCATTTCCTATCCATAAGTTCTAGATCAAAAAGTAAATAAATAACTGACCTCATTTACAGCACTTACCATGCGATTAATGTGTGGCAGCCGCTGCAACGCGCGCGTACAGACCGCGAAGTCGCTGCCCGCCGCAATGCACGCGCCGTATAAGTGGTCGGGGATCAAAGGCTCGTAGAGCTCGCGGTACCACAGCTTCAAAAGACTCGCTGGTGCATGGGCATCTACAGGACATTCGTGTTTATAGTTCAAAAATATTTTTTTGTCTCATTCAATGTTAAATACTAAAACGAGTTAGCAAATGTTAATTTGTTTATACTTCTATAATGCACTACAACTTACTTTACTAAGTATTTTATCTATTTTCATTATCTATTTATATATTTAGGCTCAATTTATATTGTGGCGGCACGGAAAGGAAGCGAATTTTTGTAACGATATTGTACATTGCATAATGAACTTTATAATCATTTGTGTAATGTACAAAGTACATACGAGCCAAAACCTTACGCGAGGTGCGCGAGCATTCTCGAGCCTGCGCAAGAATTCCGCGGACGATTTTGGTTCGTATCTAGTTTGTACGTTACACAATTGACCATAAAGTTCATTATGCAATATACAACGTCGTTACAAAAATTGGCTTCCATTCCGTTCCGCCGCAATATAATTTGAGCCTTATCGATTCATAATCAAATACTCTTGTAAGTTATAAAAACCGTTTATTATATATTATGTCTACAAATACATTGAACTTTTTCAATGTATTTGTAGACATAATGTCTCTATTGTATTGTACATATGTATTATGTACATACCATATGGCATCTGAGATAATAATGTGTAAATTTGTAAATAAGCTAACTTATTGATTGCTTCGTTCAAACTTAAACTAAACATTTTCTAATAATAACAAAAATACAATCATACCTGTTAAAGTAGAAGCATCAGGCAATTCCCAATTATCGATCTTAGCTTTCAAAGCGTTCACTTCGTCGACATCAGCTGAGACTCTGAATATACCTTCAGTCTCTCTCCCGCTGAGCGCTAGAATTTGTTGCGATAACGCTACTTGCACCCATGGTAATTGTCTATTCGGGAACCGGTCTTTTTGTAATGCCATCACTTCGGATAGAGTATTGCCGAACATTGATTGACGGAATATTTGGATCTAAAAAGAAAATAAGGCGAATGACATATAAAGTGGAAATCTTCCAAGTTATAAAAAATCTTAATAAATTGCACTGTATATAGTTACCACCCGTCCGGATTTTTCGGCTTAAGGTAACAATTTCACCGCAATTAAAAAACTTAATTTTTGTTGCCCATGCGCTTGTCCATCTCTTCTGCCGTGTAAGAGACAGGTTTTCGATTTAGTTACAAAAAAGTTCGGACTTGTTGGAAAATGTCAGGTTAAAGGTAATTTTACATCTTATTAGTATTTGTACAGTAGTGTTAAAATGATCCAGCATCTGTCAATTCTTTTCGGACGTATTTTAATTCCAATCAAAAACATTTCAACGTTCATTTTGGCAATGACTGTACCGAGTTACGAATAGGACGTCTGCACTCTGTGAATCTAAACGAAATGCAGAAATAGATTAAGAGACCGTAGATTTACATCTAACGTATGGGCACCACCGGGACAAAACTCATGGATCGTCTTCTATATACTCGATAACTATTTGTCTATGCGTTATCTATACTTACTCTAGCTTGATCGATATCTTCTGTGGTAGGTTTCCTAGGTTGCTTCTTGCCGCCGAAGCCTATTCTCTCGAGCCGCTTACAAGCCACGCCGGCATAGTGCGACACTTGAACGTGGATCGGCCATTTCCCGACCTATCAAACAAAAACAAATTAAATTTGCATATGAGCATCAAACAAAACATATTAAATTTGCATATGAGCATTTTCGGTTCAAATAAAAATATGTGTGATTAGATTAGATATAAAAAATTTCAAAAATTATAAATTGCAGAACATAGATACACTCGGTGTTTTGTAAAAAGTAAGTGTCGTAAGTCGACATTTCGAAAAAAATTCAGGGGAGCCTGTTTTAGGTTTTCACGACAATTTTAAAATGTTTACATCTTGTTTTAAATTAAATTTTAAAACTTAAACTTAGTTAAAA